GAGCATATTGGAGCATACAATGCAAACAAATCTATTTTTAAAAGAAATTATATTAGAGAAAAAGAAAAATTTTCCAGGCAAATGTTGAGGTTAACTCATTATTCATTGAGGTTAACCTACTAATAATCTTACGAAATTGTAAAAATGGAGATTAAAGTGGAGAACAAAAAATATAAATAGATGAAAGAAAAAGGTATACCTTTAAGATCGATTTCTTTTTGGACATCTTTCATGCCTTTGCAATAAATTTTGTCAATTTATTCTACGATAACAAGCGAAAGAGAATGTTAGGTCCGAAAGTGAAATAGCGACATGGCATCGTGGCACGTAAAACTTTCAAATGACTATCGACAAAGATAAAGACAGGGTATGTTCTTACGCATATTTTCGGAAGTGCCAATCAGGCTGCGGCCCCATGGAGAAAGAAACAGCGGAACAGAATGTGAACGGAATATTGATAGAAAAAAGATAGGATTATCCTATTTCTTTTCTATCAATATTCCGTTTACATTCCGTTCCGCTGTTTCTTTCTCCATGAGGACGCAGCCTCAGGGATTCCAAGCCTACGTCACATTAAGCGGCAAATTTGAACGGCTATGTAGCAGTCACTTATAAAAGCATTTTGAACAAATATTGCTGTAAATTATTCGGTTTTTCATTTCCTGAAAATACTGCGACCGGAAACGGTTTGTATATTTCTGGAGCAAAATGAATTTGAACTAGTAATGGCCAAAATTGCTTATTGCTGGATTTATATAAAGGTAAACCATCGCAGTTTACCAATAAATAAAGCACGTTTTCATCGTGAATATCTTTATTCACGCATTTTTTAAGTCCTGAAGCTATTCCAAAATAGATATATTCTTCGGTAATCTTATCGGTTGTTTTAAATTGATCTATTTTGTACTCTAATGATGTGGTTTTTAAAAATGTTTTTGACGAAGTTGGTAAATTTACGCATTTCCTTTTAAGAATTCTTAACAGAGAATCTAAATGGCAGTGCTGAATGCCAGAATTTATTGCCCTGTTACGTCCAAGGCTCCGCAAACATGGAGCCAGGGGATTGAACGTAACGCGAACCGAATCACCGTTTTGTCGCGTTCAAGTTCCGGACCGCAGGGGAGCTAAGGGGAGGACCGACTCAACGAGAGGCACTTCGCTTCGTCCTTAGGCTCTTAGAGAGCCGGGGGTCTAAGGGGGACGAAGTGGAAGCCTCTCTCGAGGTCGACGCTCCGCTGAGCGGACCATAAGGCGAACGCACACGCTAAAGGATCAAACTGGGTCAGTGTACCATAAGGGCACACTTTAACGCCAGATGTTCCAGTGCGTTCGATACCCTTATTTTCGGCCTTGGAAATGAATCCAAATAACCAGGGATAAGAGCAAGCGCAATCGCGGTTGACGTTACGAATACAAGGAGGTGTTTGTAGCAAATAAAATATCCAGAGTTTAATTAATTTGTATAATTAAAATTAAAATTACAATTTCATAATTGATTTATTTTTGCGATTAAATGATATGTGTGGTGTGCGTGCGTGCGTGCGTGCGTGCGTGTGTGTGTGTGTGTGGGTGTAATGTGTGGCAGAAGGGAGAAGTTACGGAGAGGATAGCGAGGGAAGGGAGTTTTGGTGAGTGGATCGTAGAGGATTTGATTTTCTTTGGACGATGATAGCATTAGCGGGCGGACACGTCCGACCGGTCGACAGGAGCGAACAATTATCGCGAGGGAGACAGCGACAGGGATTGCAATTATAGCGTGAACAGACTGCAATGTTTTATTTCCTTTTACATGGGAACTTAAAAGGGAGTAAGAAAGAAAGAAAAAAATATAAAAGATCAAATAAAACTAAATAAATAATAAAAAGAAACTAAATGAAATATTGAAATGAATTACCGAAAGAAAAAGCGAGGGGGACTAGAGAATAGAAATATACCGTCTTATTACTGAGATGCTCATCGGTGGGAGTTCTCCGGCCAGGATGCGCGAGGTTGACGATGTTTCTTCAGCACTGACTCTAAATCTTTAAGTCTCGCTGGCAAAGTATGCGAGGTCGATGGACTTTCTCCCGTACTGCTTCTAAACTTTGAGCTTTAAAGTGTTGGCCAGTTAAGAAAATAAGACTTGGATCGCTTCGTCCGTTCCCAAAGAGAAATTAGGAAAAAAGACTGAGAATAATCAAATTAATTACTGAGGAAAGGTCGGAGAATTCTGCTGGAAGGGCCGCAGAACCGCGGTTTATATACTAATTTTCCATTGGCTGGTAGGGTTCTAATTAGGTGGTGGGATACTTTTCTGGCTTCTGGATTGGTCAAGATTTGGGGGAGGAAAGGAGTTTGTTTTATGTTAACAAGTGTCAGTCTTAATTTTTACGATACTCTTCTTCTTAAATTATGGGGAAATGCACGTGCACCGATTAAGACGAGCGCACGTGCAGCGTCGGCACGGGGCCGTCAAACACCTCCCCTGGACGTCGCGCGTCACTTTTATATTTTATAGTCGCGGACCATAAAATGGATCGTGAGAATCGTCCGCGACTTAACCGTTAGAAAAATGTTTAAACGCCAGTATCGGGTTTTCACTGACATTAATCGTCATTTTAATAGCGTTGTCCAAGGAGAGTATCATTGACGATGCATTAGTTCCCTGCGTTCACCGATTCTTACTTCATTTTAGCTGACGCTAATGGGGAGATACTGGAGTCTTTGCTTTTAATTTTTCGTGAGAAAGATTTTTATTACTTTTATTACTTTTATTACTTTTTAACTATCTTAAGCGTCGACAACTCCAGATCTTCGTGAGAAAAAGAAAAAAAAAGGTTGCGAGAGTCCACTGGACGTAACAGCCCATTTTCGAAGTTTCATTTCGTCATTAAAGTCAGCTTCTTCATTTCTTTCTTCTCCGTTGTTACTGACATCGCTTGCTTCTACGCTACTGTCTTGGCTATCATTTCCATCATTATTTTCATTTATTCCAACTTTATCGGCTTCACTTTCATTGTTGCAGTGTTGATTAACCTTAGTACGTTAAAATTCCATGTTACTGTTTTCATAATGCGCATTCTCAATTCTACAGTTTTTATCACTGATAGAATTTTCATTTTTTGTCTTCGTGTTATTGCTCGATGATGCTACATAGTCTGCATTTTCACCTCTTTCTGTTACCAAAATACATATATCAATAAGTTGCAACAGACAAATTAAAAGTTGCTTGATATTACATTATATATTGTGTAATGCAGTTATGTTATTTTATGTTTTAATATTCTTACCACCATTTTCTGATACGGATTTGGATGAATAAAATGCTTGACGAAATGTACGAAATCTTTTCACTCACATTCTCGTTATCAAACGTGTTTTATTGTTATTTACATCCATAATTCGATATTTAACACTATAAGTATTAAGCAGATCACTTATATATTTTTTAAATTACATATATCTACAAAATTTTTTAAATTTAGAAAAAAGCTCGCTTTTTGGGATTATATAACTTCTACAAACTCAAGAGAAATATATATGCTCTTATATTTTTATAGACATAATATATACGGACAAGGAGAAATTCAGCTCCTTTCAGGATAACCCGAAAAAAATCTTAAAGAGCTCGTTCTCTGCTTTATTACCGATCAGGCACAAGTCGGGAATTCCATATTAGAGCATATCTTACCGTTTTCCCCGATCAGGCAAGGATCGGGAATTTCGTATTATGGCATTCCTTACTCTTTCAGGCATTAGTCATGCATCAGACATTCCCAATATAATTTCTGCTCGTGACCCTTAATGGAAATATGTAATATTATTTATTATTATATTATAATGTTCATTGAGTAAATGTGTAGGCAATAATAAAATCTTTGTCTCTATCAACTTACTTGGCAATTAAACATTGCAAGACTGCAACAAGCTTAGTATATAGTATCATGGGAACAGTCGCCATGCGCCAAAGCGCTCCGGGGCCGCGGTCGCCCAGTCGGCACGGCGTTGCGCGAATGATTGTTTTTTTTAACCATGTTTCACCACTCCGATCAATTAAAAAAAAAATATATGTTAAAGTAGAGAGTCTACAGATTATTTTTATGAAATATGAAAGTGATCACTCAAAAATATCACAAAAAAAATTTATAAATAATTCAAAAATTGAATGGTTTTGTTTTCATCGTAAAAATTTCAAATTAATTTTTTTCAACTTATCTAAACGATGTTTACAATATATATTTCTTTTCATTAAAATCGGTACAGTTGTTTCCGAAGAAAACCTTTTTTGATTTCGCTTTGCCCCTCCATAACTCCTGAAAAAATGCAATTTCGAGGCTAATATTTGGGAAAGTTTTCATTTCAAGAGTGCCAACTAATGACACCAATCTGAACTCGATTGGTGCGGGGGTAGATTTTACATGTTTATTCCGCTATGCTCTTTTATTTAAAAAACGGTTTATTTTTTGTAATTTAATGATATTAAAAGATAAAACTGCCCACATAAAAATATGTATCTTGTGATAAAAATAAATAAATTTTTTAATGTGAATCTATTTTAAGGGAACTGTAAATAAAACCAGTTTTGCGAAGGTATCAATAAGTATCGATACAGAGTTGATCCAGTATTGATTTTTCCCCAAATACAGATCCAATACAGCTACTTTTTTGTATCGATTTTTTCGAACACTAATGGACAGTATGATAATAGCGGTGTGTGCACGGCGTGATACGCACGGCGTAATTGCATAATGCAATTCATTGCACTTGTACGCATACCCCGATCATGTCGTGCGGGCAAAGTGGCATTCATTGTGTGGGCACGGTGTGATACGCACGCGTGAAGGCAATATGAGCACACATGAATTTTTATCTTATAATAACTGCACGAACGTATACGTAGTGACGTTCACATTTCAAACAGCCCGTTTTATATTTTTATTGTTTATGCTTGGTGTTGCGACGTTACTACGTCGCTTATAATATATATTTATAACACGTTGACAATCTCATTTCTACATTAGGTTGCCCTAGACGAAGCGACTGATACGTGGGGAATAAAAGTGGAACGAGTCGAAATGTAAGTATATAAATTGCTTATTTTGAAATACATAGAAGGAAAAAAAAGGCTCTCAAGAATCAAGACATTAAAATGATCATATCATGTTCAATATATTAAATACAAGAATAGAATAAATTAGAAAATAAAAAGCATTTAAACTATTACCAGTAACAAAAACTTAATATCCTCGAATACATGACTAGTTTCGGCTTCCAATTTGAGCACTCTTCAGATGTTTGACAATTCTACGCAATATAACTATCAAAAATACAAACAAAATTCACAACTAAGACATGTCAACGATTACTTTAAAGGTAATAATAAAAGTATTCTCTCTCTCAGATAGAACTCATCAAGCGATTGAAAGATCGTTTTTGAAAGATCCTCGTAGTTCTAAAGGTGAAATAAAAAAATAAGCAATTTTTAATTGCTTATTTTGTAGCAGTAACGACATATTCAATGAAATATAACCTTTTTTATGTGAAGAACGTGGCGTAGAGTGTAGCGCGGCTGCTTTCTATGCCGAAGATTCACAGTTTAAATTCAACCAGCACACAAAAATTTGATTTGATTGCTTTCGGAACACAATGGCAAACCACCGAGAGAATATTTGCCGCTGCTGTTTAGAGCCAGTGTTAAAAAAAACTCTAAGCCCATTCATCAGATAGATATACAGGGTGTCCCATTTTAAATGATCCAGCCAAATATCTCGAAAACTAAACCCAGTAGAC